GGGTCAAGTTGATGCTAAAAGAAAGTCGATCAAAAAAAATGGGATTGGGATTTCTGTTGCTTTTTTATTTTTATTTTATTTCAATTAACAAACATAATTAGCATTATAATTTCCCTGGCTGAATTCAGAATAGCATATGAGCATACTAGCTCTATAATAGCTTACTCTTATTATTTCTGCAAGATGGTAGTATGCTGTTCTGAATGCCTCCCATTCATTTTTATACAAGTGGTCCATCTCCTCCTCCTTTCAATGTTTCTACCCAGCAGAGCGGAAATGAGGAGAGGAGATGGAGGAGATGTGGTGAGATCGGAGGAGAGTGCTGCCATCTTATGGCCGCATGCAGTCCTGCTCCTGACTGCTGCTGGGCCCCACTTCATGCCTTGTTTGAATGCTTCAGGTTATATTTCCACTCAGCCGTGTAAGCTAAATGAAGCGTATATAATGCAAATGAGAGACTGAGTGAGAGAGAGAGAGAGAGAGGGAAAGAGGGGAGGTGTGGAGGAGAGTGATAGCAGAACAGCCGTGTGCAGTGTTGCTAGCTGAGGAAACAGAGTGAGATGTCAGCATCTTTTTGTGTGAAAATCTGTCATTGCTTAAGGGAAGAAAAGAGACCATTTAGGATTATTTATTAAAAATAGATCAATTATATTTTTTAATAATAAAGTCATTTTAATAAGACCATAGAAAATGTATATCTATAATCGACAGTATTTGATTAACTTCAATTCTGATGCCATGTTTGAGATTCCTTGATGCTACATGGCACAGGGAGTTTTATATCTGAACAGACAGCATGAAAACATGGGAGTAATCTGGAATGGCTGTGTGTCAGCTCAGGTGGTTGTTATTTAACTTGACTTGGCAAGGCTGCCTCTGTGATATTTAGAATTAATTATTCTAAATGTCTGTCAGCAGCGTTGGCAGACCATATGCATGTATTGGACAGGTATCTTACATAGCAATGCAGATTTGGCCTTGTCAACAACCAAGTTTGTCAGTTTCTGAGATTAAAGAACTGACTATAAGATTCTAACATGGCCTTGTGTGCACCAGGCAATAATACAAAATAAATACAGAAAATTATTTATATAATATATTTTATAATAAATAGCCTAAATAAAATTAAAAGTGCAGTAGGTGATTGTCTTCAGAAACATTTTTTGTTATGCTGATTGAAAGTCTCTTCACATCCCGATAGCAATCATTAAGTTAAATAAAACCAAATGGAAAACAAAAATACACTAAGCAATAATTATGAACTTTGTGTATTATCAATTTTTTATTGCTGGTATTTTTGGATATATACACAGTACTGGTCAAAAGTTTGGAATAATTATGTTTTTCTTTTTTTTTAAGTTTTGAAGTTGTTTATGCTCACTAAGTCTGCATTTATTTTATTATTATTATTATTAAAAATGCATTAAATTGTGAAATATTATTACAGGTTAAAATACCTCTAAATATATTTTAAAATATTATTTATTCCTGTGATGGCAAAGAGGAATTATTAGCAGCCATTTCTCCAGTCTTCAGTGTGATCCTTTAGAAATCATTCTAATATTCTGATTTGGTGCTCAAGAAACATTATTTTCTTTAGGGATGAACCGATATGAAAATTTTGGCCGATACCGATAATCCTTTATTTTTGAAAGCCGATAACCGATATGTTGGCCGATAAATCTATATCCAAATTGTTATATACTTTTTGAGAGCCTGATTACAAAAAAGGTCTCATCATTAAAAACCACATCCCGAACACTTCAACATAAGCAGCCTAGTTTGAACGGTGTATGTTTTAAAAATAATTTTACTCTCCCATTACCAAATTTAGTCATAAAAAAGTCTTACAAATAAAATAATGCATAAATAATGCAAACAAGTCATTGGACATCATTACACGTGTAAAGAATCAAAATGAATGCGCCATAGATCAATAAAACGGAATAGCCTCTGCACGGACAATAATTAAATGATTTTAATTACTAAACCATATTGCTGATGAAAATAATAATAGAAAAATACAAGTGGTTGTTATTATTAATAATGTATCAATGATTTTGAAAAAGTAACAAATTAATACCACTGTTTTAAACAGCAGCCGTTGAGCTGCACGTGCTGGAGCTGAATGAACACGGTAAACTGAAGCGTTTTGCTGGCAGCTTATTTAACTCAAGGAAATGCATCCTGAGATTAATATTAATACAACATAAACATAATATTACAACTTATATATGTACAAAATGACGCAGTTATGGCGTGCTATAGTCAGAATGTGTGATCCTGTTGTGGATGCGCTCTTCCCATAACAACGCGCTGAAACACGGCAACTAAACCCAAAGAATTCACAACGTTTTATTATAATAATGTTCTCATTAGAATGTTATATACACGACATTCCCAATCATAGTTATTAATGTTGTGCACTGCTGTTTGAGTTTATCACTGGTAAACTGAAGCGCTCTTAACTTAACCAAACGCATTCTATATGAGATAAATCAGATATACATCAAGTAAACACAATATTACAACGTACAATTGCACAAAAGGCTGCAAATGAACAGCGCGCATCTGAAGTGTCTCTGAAGGAAATAATGCATTATTTATCGGCTTTAAGATATCGGCCAAATTTTCTTATCAGGCCGATACCGATAACAGAAAAAATTTGCATTTATCGGCCGATACCGATATGGTGGCCGATATATCGTGCATCCCTAATTTTCTTACTATTATCAATATTTATCAAACAGTTTTTGCTGCTTAATATTTTATAAGTAAGATTAAAAAATAAGAAGAAATTTAAAAATGTATTCAGCAAGGATGCATTAACTTGTTTAAAACAGATCAATCACAATATTACTGTTTTTGTTTTTGTGATCAAAAAAATGTAGCCTTGGTGAACATAAGAGACTTCTTTCAAAAACCTTAAACAATTGAAATCATTCCAAATTGTTTGGCCAGTGAGTGTATACTGTATTTTTTTTCAAGCCTACATTGTCAAACTGATTTATATTTAATATATATTTTGTAGTATAGGAATACATGTCAAATAGCTTATCTGGAAAAAAAAAAATATCTGGCAGTGCCCCTGTATTGGCTTTGACAGAGACGAGAGATAATAGAGAGACATTGGCTGTTCTTCATTAGATTCTCCTCTGCCCCTCAGCAAACAGAAGTAGCTCCGGCCAAACAAGCTCAATCAAAAGGTGGCTTCACTGGACGATGTTAGCTCAGCAAATCCAGCTCTACACACACGACTTCAAAGAATAGGCTCATCTCCTCCTAACCTTTGATGTATTGTGTATTGATCACGAGGAGAGCCGGGAGAGAGTGATACGATGGATGCCCTAAGAGGGATTAGTGGAGGCCAGGCCGGGCTCAAATACAAATGTTCCTGAAGAGCAGCTTGGTCTCTGGGGCTTGGCCAGCTGCCCTGTCCTCTAACCAGCTCTATAGGAGTGGGTGCTTTAAAAATGCCGGATTAAAAAAAAAAACTTTTAATTAAAATTAACATGTGTTGGTGGATAAGAATTAATTCTAAGTCGTTTGGTCTGAAGTAACTTCACTTGAGTGTGATTATTGTAAAGGTATTACTCCATATATCACACTATTTTGCCGGTCCACTCCAAAGGGCTTCATATTCTCGGAGACTATCATGAATAAAGAGCTCTTGAAATGTAAAGGCCCAGTGATGTAACTGTTCTGGTGCCATGCAGTCATGCTTGGACAGCGCAGCACTCGTCTCCCTGCCGCAGATGTCTTCATACCTTGTTTCTTGTCTCTCGTCAGCTAAGTTAAGGTAGAATGACATTGCGATTGTTGTTTCTTTGCCACCACAGACAATTGGAACGGCCCATCTTGGAACAGTCTGCTCGCATCTGTAGCCGACAGCCAGCGTGACAGGTCTCTTCAAAGTCTGTGTTTACGACTACATGAAAGAATGGAAGAAATGAAAATCCTCTTTGAAAGACACAAGCTGGGTATCTAAGCAGCAGCTTACGACATTTCATGGAAATAATATTTTTATTGATAAATGCCCCCAGGGTAAATACACAGTGCATGCTGCAGCTCGTCAGCACAAAGATTATTATTTTTTTATTATTCTGTATAATTTCAATGAAATCAAACAGATTTCAACAGGCATTAAAACACGGCATGCAATAAAAAAGCATGCCAGATGCTCACAGCCTAATTTTGAGGAATTAAATACCTCACAATACTACTTTGTGTACACAGTGCATACTAGAGGTAGTGCATATAACATTTGTCGTACATTATCCACCTTATTTTGCAATGCGAAAGTATTATATTTTCTGTAAGTGTGTGGGACTTCCAATCCACTACACGTAAATATCTAGAGGAATAACAAGAATAACAGTAAAACTATTTGTGCTACAAACCAGTGTGTCTTTGATTCTGACAATATATTAAAATAATGTGATTAAAAAATGCCAATTTGCAATATCAAGCAGCAGCGTGGTGAGCTGTATTATACAGCCTTGTACAAATAGCTGCATCCGGTCTTATGTTAAAAATAAGGTGAGAAGAATGTTTATGATTTCTCAAGAAACTCAAGGGATTTTTAGACTAGTTTATTTGACTATAGTTTGTTTTGATGAACCAGTTAAAACCAGGATTCATTTATCAGTCATCACTCAAAAGTAAAGTTCCTATGTGGTATACATGTTTGAAATACATTTTTGGTTAAAATGTGAAATTGATTTTTTTTTAAATGACAAAAATTAAAATGAAAAAAACGCTTAAGTACATCGTAGACCCATTGAAACCAATGGAGCTACGATCAACTTAGGCTTATGATGCTTTTGGGAAACGCAGCCCAGGAAATGAAGTCTCAGCTGAAATTGGTCAGAGAAAGGGACTTCTGACATTTAGTGTAGGCTTAACCTATTGTTTTTTTTTCTCTACATATTTTCAAGAGTTTATTTTTATAACACTGTTGAACTTGACATGATTTTGTATTTATTTATTTATTTAAGATAGCTATGATGGATGATTTCTATATGATAACTCAGGAGGACCTGGAAGATATTAAAGAATCCATATCTACTCAGGATCTCCCAACAGCAGTAAACACGATCAAAGGATTCCTTGAAAAACAGGATCATGTAGAACTTAACGTTGGTGTGACGGGGGAGTCTGGTTCTGGAAAATCCACGTTTGTCAATGCATTCAGGGGTTTAGGGGATGAAGAAGAAGGCTCTGCTAAAACTGGCCCTGTAGAAACCACTATGGAGCCTGAAGCTTACCTTCACCCAAAATACAAAAATGTGAAAGTGTGGGATCTTCCTGGCATTGGAACACCAAACTTCAAAGCCGATGAGTACCTTAAACTGGTGGAGTTTGAACGCTATGATTTTTTCATCATCATCGCTTCAGATCGGTTCAGAGAATGCCACACTCAGCTGGCCAAAGAGATCATGAGAATGGGGAAAACTTTTTATTTTGTTCGTTCCAAGATTGACTCAAGCATTGATGCTGAGAAGAGGAAGAAGAGCTTTGACCAGAAAAGGACACTGGATACCATCTGAGAGGATTGTGAAAATGGTTGGTTATTCAGGTCACACGACAATTTTTTATTAGATACAGTAATTATTAAAAAATATTTAATGACTTATTTCATGATGTCTTTTCCTGTTTCTTTCTAGGTCTGAGAAAGATCAGTATAGAGCATCCTGTCGTGTTTTTGATCTGGTCCTGACTGTCCGATGTAGTCTCTTGATGTCTGATTTGGTTGCTGAACCAAACCAGACAGTTATGGATGAACACAAACAGTTCTACTCCGCTATCATTGAGTCTGTCCCGCGTTTGAACAACACCGCTGTACCTCCGACTAGAATGTCCAACAAAACGTCCGAATAATCAAAAACCGGAAAAATGTTGTCCGGGATGTGCTGCTTAATGTTAAGCAGTTCGTCTCTGGTAAAACTTATAGAAGAAGAATGACAAAACACAGAACAAACAAACAAAAACAATAGAAGAATTGCGGAGCTCAGCGTCCTTGCTGCCATTTGCGGCGCCATGCTGATAGATAAATAGAATATAATGGACATATAATATGACATATATATATACACATACATACATATGACATATATATACGACATATATATAAAATTATGAGCACCAGAAAGAAAGAAAGCAAGAAAGAAAGAAAAGAAACATTTGTATGGATGCATCATTCACAGCACAATAAGCTCAATATCATGCATTAACAAAAGAGATAAGATGCATTTTTATTTCATGCTGATTTTTAAAACAGTTTTTATGTAGATAGATACATTCCATTTTGTTGCTATCACTTTAATTGAGATTCTGATTAAGATTTAGCCAGACGCAGATTTTAATCTAATAGTATCTTTGTATATGTATTGTAGGTAGCTTGCATGCAGACAAGACTCTTGCCCAACTGCACAACAGTAACTGGATGAAACCAACAAGCCATGTAACCGTGCAGCTCTGTGAAGGACTCGCAGTGGTCACAGCAAAAGTGAGTCAACGGAAATCAGTTCTGGCAGACTGTCACCGCGAGGTCACAGCCTGTTAGAGTGTGGGCAGCACATGCCCTGGACTTCAAGAACGAAAACAACTGACAGCTGCAGAGAGTTAAAGCACAGTCAGAAACAAAGACCCTGAGGGGAAAATAATGAACAGTTCATTCATCCTCATATTGTGATACACATGAAAGGATATTTATTCTGTGAAAAATACTTGTTTCGTATGTTGCTTATGCTGGAAGACATCATGTTTTTATTATGAGTTTTTGGCATTTGCACCAGATCTGTTGATTGTAACATTCCTCTTTTTGGACAAATATCATTCATAGTAAGAGAATCATTGTCTCATTTTCACAAAGATAATTACATTTTAAAATATAATGAAAGGTTCCAAACAGATGTCTGGCAGGCGTCCATTAACTCCATTAAATAATATTTATCAGTATCTGTTAAAGGGATGGTTCACCCAAAAATGAAAAATCTGTTATCATTTATTCACCCTCATGTCATGAGTTATTTAAAGCAGAATATCCAAGCTGCTTTTTTTTCATACAGTGAAAGTGAATTGTGACCACGGCTATCAGGCAAGATTCATTTTATCCTGTTACTCATACAAAGATCATATGACTTCCAAATACTTGTAATATAATGCATATGGACCTGTTTTAGGGTGTTTTTATTGGAGCTTGACAGCCCCCTGGTTTCCACAATGAAAAAAAAGTAATGTAGAAACAGTTTTCACTAAGAAATTTCGAGAAAATTTTACAAAGAATATAAGTAGAAATACTGAAATAGTATTTTTTGTAAAATGTACTCCAATTATGGTGTAATATACAAGAACAAGCAACTTACAAGAAATTGATAGTAAATTTCACAAATAATTACAAAGAATCGACACATAACATTGAATTATAGTGAGATTTGGAAGTAGAAATACTGAAAGTGTTTTTTTTGTGTAAAACATCAATTACTGGCGCAATATACAAGAACAAGCAATTTACAAGAAATTAATAGTAAATTTCGTAAATAATTACAAAGAATCAACAAGTAACACATTGAATTATAGTGAGATTTTGAAGTAGAAATACTGAAATAGTATTTTTTTGTAAAACGTACTCCAATTATTGGCGTAATATACAAAAACGAGTAATTTACAAGAAATTGCTAGTAAATTTCGCAATAATAATTGCAAAGACTCGACAAGTAACACATTGAATTATAGTGAGATTTGAAAGTAGAAATACTGAAATAGTTTTTTTTCCCTCAAAGATACTTCAATTACTGGCGCAATATACAAGAATGAGCAATTTACAAGAAATTGATAGTAAATTTTGCACGTAATTACAAACAATCTACAGTACAAGTAACACATTAAATTATAGTGAGATTTTGAAGTAGAAAATCTGAAATATTTTTTAATAAAACACTCCAATTATTACAAACATTTGATAGTACATTTTGCAAATAATTACAAACAATTGGCAAGTAGCACATTGAGCTAAATGTAAAATTTTGAAGGAGAAAGACTGAAATAGTATTTTCTTGCAAAACATACTCCAATAATAGTTTTATTCACTGTAATGACAAAAAGATTCAGAATGCCAACATACTGCTAAACTTGTTCCACGGAAGAAAGTTAGCACTGTATTACGGGTTGAGTTTAATAAATAATGACACTTTTAATTCTGGACTAATTATCCATTCAATAATCAGTAAAAAGAGTGGTGAAACGTGTTAAACGCACACCCTTTTTGTTACATGAAAAGCTAGAAATCAAAACAATTGGCCACATGCAGCAGAGGCAGTTCAGGCGATACAGAACACATTTTCAGTCAGCGCTCTGAATGCGCTTCAGGACAAAATAGACTGACCCGGTGCAGCTCATATTAAAATGCAGCTCATATCTCAATTTACCCTGCGTATTGGTATGCGTGATGATGAACAGGAGCCAAAGAGGAGTGAAGCACCACAGTAAAGCGAGATGAGACCCCGGGGAGGGCACGAGACGCGCTGAATGACAATTGCACCCGACTGTCAACACTCATCTGCATTTTAACCTCCCTTTGGACTGACACGCTGGCTCGCAGGCAGCCACGGTCCTGACATATCAAGATGTAGAGCGGGAACCGTGCTCTGGGCCTTCATTAGCAAAGCGTCGGGCTCATGCAGTATTTACAGAGTCGTCCACTAATTGAGTTTTAATGTCAGTGACTGCTCCCCAGGACACATCTAGATAGGTATATGGGCCTTTAAAGGGCAGCCTCATCTGCGGTTCAACCGCCACCAAACACAACATGCCCTTCTAAACCTCATCGCCCCTGAGGGGAAGCTGCCATCATGATATGAGAGAGGAAAAACCGGCCCCCCTCATCTAATTCAGCTAAAAGGCTGCTAGAAAGCCTCCTCAGCTGACCACCATAACCAGCCTTTGTCCCGGTGGTTAAATGATTAATAGAGTCGGCATGGCAGCCTTGTTTACAGCATGTGAAGAAGGTTTCCACTGCATAATGCCAAAAACTAAGTGTTGACAATCCACTCCCTGAGTGTCTACATAATACATAACATCAGCCAAACATGGGAAAACAGCAACAGCCTGTGCGCCGGAGACGACTGCACTGACATGACCTGACAGGCCTTGAAGCTCAAGGACACCTGGTTTACACGGCCTGTTGACTTGATCGGCGTTTGATCTGACATGATGAAAATCTTCCATTTTACCTGCATCTGTGGTGTCGGTTGAAATGGGAGAGGAATAATTAAGGGCAAACTGAATATTTGAATCGCATTAATGAGAAAATGACCGTAGAGTACACAGGCCGATTACATATACGCATAGAATAAACATGAAGAAATTTGCATCTAATGGTTCGTGTGGTGGGGAAACGCAGTGAGAACCTCATTAGACGGTCTGCCTTACTCCAAATTATTTTGTGTCCGTTTCTCCTGCGGCAAGCAATAGACTCGCAGAGGACAGAAAAAGACTCTTTGCAGGAATTAATCATCCAAATAGCAGATAAACCATGCAATCATTTATTTTGAAAAGCCAAGCTGACTAATTAGTGTGAATTCAAGCAGGCAGTTCTCCGGTATTTTCTCTCCAGCATGTTTTTAATTCTTTATTGTGTATTCTGCAGGTTAAGCACTTAAATAGAGAATTACTTTCACTTTGCTAAAAGAACTTCCTTCCTTAGAAATGAGCCAAATGACTACTGTTGCATTCTGGTTAGTTCTCCCCTGGCATGATCCAATTTGTTTTATAGTAGAAAATTTCATTTCTTTTCTCTCTTTTTTTTTTAAAGTCAACACAAAATCTTTTTACGTTCTATTCTGATTCATTTGTGCACATTATTGCTAACAAATTGATTTGTCTTTGCAATCAACCCTGTTTACTATCTATTTTCTATTGTGATTCATTTGTGAGCATTATTGCAAACAACTTTTTGCCCTTGTAATCTTTAATCAAAATATAATAACTTTCTCTTTTATTATACTTTACTTATAATTTTTTCCAAAACAAAAAAAATTGAAAAAGTTTCGTACAATAACTTGCTCCTCTGACGAAATGATTTTCCTTCTCTTAAGTCACCTGGCTAAAAAGTTATTTCTGCATTGTTTTAGGAACTGCATATTCATGCAGTTTTGGAGCATTTTTATTATTTATTATTCCTGTTTAAACAGTGGAACTACATCCCATTCATTATTACAATTCTTTTTACAGTGAGAAATCGATCAGACCAAATAAACTATCAACAAGGTTAAATTTGAAACATTTTGATTATCAAAGAGACTATTTACTCTAGACTATGCACTCTGTATTTTTATTTATTTTATATTTTTTTATTACATTTTATAATTTTAATTTTATTTCATTTCCATGACTGATATGACAGTTATACTGGCAAAAGTTTAACCAGTGTCATTGTAAATGCTCTTTATTTGCTAGCAGCCAGTAATTTATTCCACAAATGAAAGTACGTAGTAACAGGGGGTTACTGAGATTAAGTGAGTAGTATTTGACTCATCATGTGATCTCAACACGTCAGCCCCCATTAGACAATCCCCTTAATTTCAAATACATTGTTACCCAGTGTATACATTTTAGTGACTGAAACTACAATTCCTAAAATTGCTTTTCTAATCTCTTACAACATACATAAATCAACAAGCTCACCATAACAGCGAAGGCTTTTTACAGTGCCAAAAGTACCTTTCACACCAGAGCATAAGTGAGCAATCCGTGCTTATGTTTGAAATTGCTACATTTTCAAGCAAGGTGCTCTCTGAGTGGTCGTTTTCAAGTCTTGCTCAAGTGTCTCTCTTATTCTTTCTCTCACTTCACTGGATCATAATCCTAATGCAGTAATCTAAAGCTCTATCATAGTATAACGTTCTCGCTAACTCCAGAGCCATTGCCAGCCGAGCCAAATGATTATATTGTAGTGTGGCTCATCAAACTGCGTATGGTCAAAAAGCAGAGCACTCGATGGCTTGCACAAGTGAGTTTAATGTCTGCTCGTTGCTTGGAGCCCTTGACCCTCTCTTGGAGGCGCTCCATGTTAGTCACTCTCTAGTGCCTCCAAATTGAAATGGAGTCAGAGGAGCAGATGAGATATCCACCATCAGGACTTGGCTGTGGAGCTAAAAGAGAGAGAGAGGGAGGGTTGAGCTTTACAGAACTGAGACTGAGATGTGTCACAGAGGACAATTATTGTACAATCCATGGGCAGATAGTTTAATCTTCTGAAATAAACAAGACTATGGTTTTATTCTCAGCTGAAAAAGAAATCCCAAACACTGCAGACAGGCATAGGAGCGGACTGAGTTACAAAAACATACCCTTGAGTCAGAGCAGAAAAACCTTTGTAATGTTCACAAGCTTGCTGGGGGAATGAATGGTAGAAATCGAAATTCTTTCAAAATTAAATTTGCAGTTCGGGCCTTGTAAGCAATCTTTTTAATCAAAAGGTAAATCCAGGAAGGAAGCTGAAATATTGGGGAAATATTTTGGAGGAAGTTTGCCTCATTTGAAATGGAATGTCTGGGCTTCAAACTCTTTAGACATGGTCCTCTTCAGGTACTTCAGTGGAATTGCTGCCGCTCCGATCCCCTTGACCTGTACGCACAGGCACACTTTTTATCCTGATACAAAATTGCTTCTGCTCAAAGCAGCAAACACTCAATCACCCTCTAACATCTTAATCCTAACCAAACCCAACCAACCGTAACCCACCAAAAAACACAATTACATACATGCAGGATGACTGTAGGCTCAAACTTTGGAAAGGAAAGCTTGATGGAAGGAAACCGCTTCAAGTTGCCAGAACCAATGTCCATTTTTACTAACCGTTAAAAACCTAAAGAAATAGATGTTATGCCAAGCACAAAGTCAGCAGTCTAATTCAACAATCAGTCTTAGTAGGTGAAGTACTGTTGAAAAAACCATAGCTTACATTTCCTCAGAAGTTCTGTGTTTATTCTGCAACTGAATAACTTCATACCATCATAAAGACGTGCATACATCTTTGTTCTCATACGGTATGTGGGAGATGTGTGAACATTTTCAGGTTATATGAAGGTAATTCTTATTTTGATCCAGTATCTTTGAAACTGTATTGAATCTTTCATCAAAAACAGAAGCACGACACCTTCCAAACAAAGAGCTCAATGACTCAAGAATTCCAACAAAGAAAACACAGCCGTGTTGAAACGCATGATTTGGCCATTTTCACCCCTTTGGCACTAAAACAAAAAAAGTCAAAACAATAGAACTAAGTTTTTGGGATCTGTTTTAGTCATACTCGTCACTTGTGGTCATGTACAAACAACAGCAGTGCATGATTTCAGTAACACACTGTCTAGCACATTTACATCGGGTCTGTGTGAATTGAGGATTTTAATGTATTTCAGTGATGCCAAGTTAAGATTTGATGCATTATTTAATAAATACAATTTTACAGTTTAATCACATTATCCACTTAATTTAATCATGATATACTTTAATCGTAATTCTTTTAGACTGGATTTTATATTAATGACAGATGTTGTCACTCATTAAGGCAGAGGCGACTAAAGGATATTTTGTGAGCAGAATTACAAGCTAATATCACATGCATTTAATAAAATATTCATTCATTGACAAGTAATTTTTATATTTTCTTGCACTTACATTCTTACATGGGACCCTGCAGGTCAGTAAAGTTAACTTTTCAATAGACTTCCATACAAGAGTTTCTTCAACTACCGGCTGTGGACTAAACAGCTCTCACAACAAGTAGTCTACTAATAGTCACTGTACATACATGGGACAACTAAACATGATGTTTGCGCCTCATCGCAGATTATGAATATTTTATGAAAATATTTTGTAATGGAAATACCATTTAAATATTTTCACATTTAAACAAAGAAAAGACTAACATTGCTAAAGCTAATTTCTTGGACAATATTTTTGCTGCATGAGATTCACACTTTTTAATTAGTGTGAAATATCTCAAATTAAATCACACATTTTACATATTGTGGTAATTACAGCTCAATGACAAAACACTCCATTCTGATTTCTTTATTTTTCAGTTTACTTCACAAGTCTCATACTTACTCTTAAAGTATCCATTGCCTACATGAAACAATATGACCCATGGCCATCTTGGTGTAAGAATTAAAACTCCTGACTTCTATAATTTAAGCACTGCTGCCATCTACTGCTTCCTTATAGAACCATATCAAGTGCTTGGAGAACTACATTACAAATGAGAATGAAAAATTTGAGATGAGCAAAATAACCCACTATATGAACCAAACAAGTATATCAAATGCCGTTTATTAACAGTTTTGTCTGCAGCAATGTCATACAAATGAAACTACATGGAAAGAGTGCTGTTCCCAGGTGCTGCCTACTAAAGTCATGAAAATGACTTTTACTAAAGGATTTTTAAAGAAACAGCAGATGCTTTGATTGTCCCAACTGTCCAAATGCAAGAGAAGTACACATCAACATATATATATATATATATATATATATATATAAAAACAAATACCTAATGTGCTTGAGACAGTTAGAAAACATTTGTAACATTTTTGTTTTGAAACCCACCCAGACCCACACTTACACCAAATGTGAATTTTACATGTCAACACCCAGGTAGAAAATGCAGTACAAAAACAGCTTTGGTGAACTTGTGTAGTCTTCTATAAAAAAAAGTTTTTCCATAAAAGCATTTTTAAAAAAAAAAGTTAAATATTATAAAGTGAATTTGCTATTGCACACAGTGATAAGAGGCTTAGAGAGGAAAGGACTCTGCTGTGATGACAATACTAGAGCAGTCTCAAGGCTTTCTGCGTCTACAAAACAAAATTGAGGCAATTTTTTAAAAAGCTGTTTTCACCAGTGTGACAAACAAATGAAACTGTATGCAAATAAAGAGCTTACTTTGGATATCCGTGATGCTGGTATCCAGGTCCCAGGTTTGAGCCAGCTCTCATCTCCAATGCCACAGAGCACTAGAGAATAAAGACGACGGGTTAGGAAACAAATATTTTCATATTTAAAATGTACAAATATATGCACACAACTCCATTCAAACGTTTGGGGTCAGCAAGTTTACATTTTTATAGAAATTCAGCAAGAATGCATTAAACTGATCAAAAGTGACAGTAAAAACAATCACAATATAAAATCAATTTCAAATGCTGTATTTTGAACTTTGTTCCAAGAATAAGAAAAAGGGTTCTCGCAGAAATTAAAGAGCACAACTGCTTTCAAGATTTGTGTTTTTTTACACTACAGTGACTTCTAAAAGGATCATGTGACACTGAAAACTGGAGTAATGGCTTCTGAAAATTTAGAACTGCAATCACAGGAATAAATTACATTAAAATATTCAAACAGAAAAGTCATTTTAAATTGCAATACTGTTTCACAATATCACTGAATTTGATGAGCCAGTTTTTAATATACCAAAAAAAGTCAGTTGATATCAGTATTTTACCCTCGTCTCCACATCAGTCCAGTCTCCTTCCATAGGCTCACCATCTGGGCCTGTCTCTGATGATCGTCTCTTACGGCTACAATCAAAAAGCACAACAATACAGAGCATTACTACGAGACCTAGAAATTTGCTGCCAAGTTTGAATTGCATTGGAGGTCATTACCTGGCCGCAACGGGGTTTTCCTGCGTGAGCGTTTCGATATCTGTGAACTGAACAGCCTGTCCTCCACCTCTAGTTTTGAACACTTCACCCTGATAAAGAGCAAAAGATTTGAGTTTCAGCTGACAACCAAAACCAGTCAGATTGAGCAAGACCACTAGAAAAAGAAGCTACCTTGATTAGCTTGGTCTGGATCTCTCCATCTGATGCAACTTCCTGGTGCGTCAGAACATACTTGTCACACTTGGACAGAGCTTTCTCATTGGGAGCATTCACTTTGATGGCATTGGGGATGTTTGGCTGCAGAACTGTATCCAGGTCCACGTTAGTGGTGGGTTTATGATCAACCCACCTCTCCCCACCTGCGGAGTGCGAGCGTCTGTGTAGAGGCCGAACCGGTGGCCCAGTCTATTCAATTAAAACACAAACACAGTAAGAAACAGAAGACGGTCCCTTAAGCATGCTGAAGCGTGAGTGTGTTAGTCAATCTCTACAGAAGCACAAACTAAACGTACCAAGCGGTTAAGAGGAAAGAAAAAAAAGCTGAAAATGTTCCCATTCAAACAAGCTCCAAGATAAATATGCTTTTCAGTATGCAGATATTAAAGCTGTAAATGCTGACATTATTCAATTGCTTTTCACACTTTAGACAAGTAAAATTATGTGCAGGAGTAACCGATGACAATGAGAAGATGAAAACTCCAATTTATTTGTCTAAAAGTGCAAAAAAAAGCCATTACATGGTTAAAATAAGCAGCACATAATACCTTATTTTACATATATATCTTCTGGGTAATAATTAATGCAGCTGAGAAACAGATCAAAAGGTCTACATTAGTGTCTTGATGAAGCTCTACCTACAACTACAGCAAGTTACTCCACTGACCCAGTGACCCGTTTCCTCTAGGTCTACCTCTGCTGGCTGGACAGGCACCTCTCTGGCCCAACACCTGCCTCTTCTCCTGCTAAGACTGTCGGGAAGGCCCTGAGCTCTCTTCCTACTGACTGGAGGCGACTGGCTACCCTGCCTGCGAGACTGCGGGACACCCTGCTCCCACTCGGAGATGCAGGAGGCCACAGACACACTGCCTGGTCTGGGGAAGTGAGGATCTGGCCTGACCGTCTGAGAGAAGTTATATATGGGCTCCAGGGAGGAGAGGGATGACTGAGAGCCATTGTAGGGAGACTGCAAGCGACATGAGATTAGTACACTCATTGTTTGCATGCAACACACCAGTACATTAAAAACAGCATTTACGGCATTAAAAACAGGATGGAACCTGTATATAAAAAAAAAAATTAAAAAAAAAGGGCACAGGGTATTTATACACACTGCATAGCAGACCATGCATGGACATATAAAGAGGAGGTTTGTGGATTAGGTTAAGCATAAATCTCAGGGGCAGGCGATCTAGAAACGCATGTCAGTTAAACGTACAGGAACAGGCGACGGGGAAGCGGATCTCTTGGCAGGCACTTTGTCCTTTTCTCTGGAGGGCCGCTGTGGCTGCCGGTTCTCCGTCTTTCCCTCAGTCACGATGGCTTTGAGCTGTTTGAGTTTCTCATCCTTCACCCACAGCTTATTCTGCATTTCCAGCTGCTTGGCATTTACCTGCCTCTCCTGTAGAGAACAAACAAAAGCTGCATGAATCACACCACTAACAAATTAAATTCTACACACAGACACAAAAAAAATCGTTTCGCGTATGGTCTATGGGGAAGACACTCACACACTCCTTCTCCCACTTAAGCTTGGCGTCAGTGACAATGCCTTGCATGCGTGTTTCCATGCGTCTCTTTTCAGACATTTCCCTTTGCAGCCTCTGTTCTCTGCTCTCCAGTTCCTGCTGTAGAGATCGCTTGTCCTCTTCATAGATGTTGGTAGTTTTCTGTAGAATGTCAATCTGTAACAGAAAAACATTTTGCAGATGCATTAGAGGCCTTATTCTGAACTTTTGTTAGTATGACACTTAAAATAGCTGTCATTCCAACCATAATTATTGTAGCTTAGTTTGCATTGTAAATGCCAGATATAAAGCTATCAGGCAGACATACACACACTACTGTTCAAAAGTTCTAATCTTTAAAGAGACTCATGCTCATCAAGGCTACATTTGATCAAAAATACAAAAAAATATTTTAAAATGTAATTTACTCTTGTGATGGCAAAGCTACATGTTCTTCAATCTTCAGTGCTACATGATGCTTCAGAAATCATTCTAATATGTTACAGAAATGTCATTACCATCCGTTTTGATCAATTGAATGTGTCCTAAATAAAAGTATATATTTTTTCAATTAAATAAAATCTTACTGAGCCCAGACTTTGAACAGTAGTGTGTAGTTGTCTAAATTTCTTTATAAAGTATGTGTTGTTATTATAAAGCTGTATCATGATTGGCCAGGTTTGACATTGGCATTATGCTCTTGAATAGTCTCTTGTTTTCAACAACAAAAAATAAAAAAGTTAATTGCCCTTGCATATGCCAGAAAGCAAAACTGTTTTAAGTTGTCCTGTTAATTTTTTAATCAAATAGTTTTAAATACGCAATGTAAAACTTGAACCTGGTGACATAAAGTGGCCTCAAACATATTTAAACATACAGTGGGTACGGAAAGCATTCAGACCCCCTTAAATTTTTCACACTTTGTTATATTGCAGCCATTTGCTAAAATCATTTAAGTTATTTTTTTTCCCCTCAATGTACACACAGCACCCCATATTGACAGAAAAACACAGAATTGTTGACATTTTTGCAGATTTATTAAAAAAGAAAAACTGAAATATCACATGGTCCTAAGTATTCAGACCCTTTGCTGTGACACTCATATATTTAACTCAGGTGCTGTCCATTTCTTCTGATCATCCTTGAGATGGTTCCACACCTTCATTTGAGTCCAGCTGTGTGTGATTATACTGATTGGACTTGATTAGGAAAACCACACACCTGTCTATATAAGACCTCACAGCTCACAGTGCATGTCAGAGCAAACGAGAATCATGAGGTCAAAGGAACTGCCCGAAGAGCTCAGAG